AACATGATTACAATTTGTTACCTAAAACTTGACAAATTATTTATCTTTCAGTATTCTAAAAGTAACTGGAATAAAAGTATTGCCATGAGAAAATTGTCGAAGTAAAAGGTATTTAGGTTAAAATGTCAAATTGCTTACAATCTTTATATTTGGGATTGTGCATTATAGTTAGACTTCTTATTTTATCATCATTGCTTGCAGATTAACCATGCAAATCTAAAGCATCAAGTGCAAGTAAATGGGTGGCAAACATGGCTTTGATTTCACACATAGACGCTATGTTTACATATGTACATGTTGTCTATATTTTGCTTTGCTAGCATATAGCTTTGACTGAAAACTTATGAATCTGAAAATTTTGATTTAAGGACATTAAATGTTATCAGCATGTATCTAGAAATGAAATTACATGTCATATTTTCATATTTTTTTTAATAGCTTCTATTTTCCCATTTTATCTTCGTTGTTGTTTTAAAGGAAAAATAGTAAAAATTGTAAGAGAGATTACTCACATATGTGCAAATTGGATGAAATATATGTTGCTCAATTTATAAAATAATCACTTAAGAAATATTAGAATATCTAAAACAACACATCTTTGGGGCGCGTAGCGCCCGTGATGTAAAAAAGCCTCTCACACGCTTGCAGAAAGACTAGTAATTGATTATACACGTCTACATTTACTGTGTTTCTTATTTTTAATGAAAGCGAGAAATTTGAACTTAAATTACCGTTCAACATTTGATTAGATGTAATTTCCATTATCCTAGTAAAGCTAGTTATTGGCTATGAGCACTTCAATTGACATTTGGGAAAATGTCATTTTCTAGAAAGTAAACTGAGATTTTTTTTTTTTTTTTTTTTTTTTTTTTTGCTATGAGCACTTCAATTGACATTTGGGAAAATGTCATTTTCTGGAAAGTAAACTGAGAATTTTTTTTGCTCCCTTTCTCAAAATCCTTATAATTGAACATTTTTACATGCCAAAAAATCATGTAGTTTTATGGGCGTTGATTTTCACACATTTTGTTTAATTTTTTACACATCATCTTAATTTATGATCATCAGATTAAATAAATCTTAACGAAAATAATAAATAAAATTAACCAAGTGAGAAGATAGAAAAGATGCGTGTTTATTGTTGCATTCAAAACATCTCATTGCTCATGATTTTTCGATTGAATTTGGGACTGATTTTCAGTTTTCTACATCATTTTATATAATTTCAAGTACATTACATCTAATTCTTTTGAAATAAAAAAAAGGTGATAGTTACTCGTCAATTATCTTTACGATTTACTGCTACCATACTTTCTCTTTACAAGAAAAAAACACTTAAATAATTGATTATGTGTGTCAATATTTACTGTGTTTCTTATTTTTAATGAAAGTCGTAGATTCGAACTTAGAATACCGTCCAACATTTGATTAGATGTAATTTCCATTATCCTAACAAAGCTAGTTATTGGCTATGAGCACTTCAATTGACATTTGGGAAAATGTCATTTTCTAGAAAGTAAACTGAGAATTTTTTTTGCTCCCTTTGTCAAAATCCTTATAACTGAACATTTTTACATGCCAAAAAACCATGTAGTTTTATGGACGTTGATTTTCATGCACCTTGTTTTACTTCTTATACATCTTTTTAATTTATGATCATCAGATTAAATAAATCTAACAAAAATAATAAACAAAATTAAACAAGTGAGAAGATTAAAAAAAAGTGCGTGTTTATCGTTGCATTCAAAACATTTGCTTAGTTCTCATTGCTCGTGATTCTTCAATTGAATTTGGGACTTGTTTTCTGTTTTCTACATCATTTTATATCATTTCAAGTACATTACATCTAATTATTTTGAAATAAAAAAAGGTGACAGTTACTCGTTAATTATCTTTATGATTCACTGCTACCAAAAAAAAAAAAGCACTTAAATAATTGATTATACGCGTCTACATTTACTGTGTTTCTTATTTTTAATGAAAGCGAGAAATTCGAACTTAGAATACCGTCCAACATTTGATTAGATGTAATTTCCATTATCCTAGTGAAGCTAGTTATTGGCTATGAGCACTTAAATTGACATTTGGAAAAATGTCATTTTCTAGAAAGTAAACTGAGAATTTTTTTTTGCTCCCTTTGTCAAAATCCTTAAAATTGAACATTTTTACATGAGAAAAAATCATGTAGTTTTATGGACGTTGATTTTCACACTCTATTTAACTTCTTACACATCTTCTTAATTTAAGATCATCAAATTAAATAAATCTAATGAAAATAATAAACAAAATTAAACAAGTGAGAAGATAAAAAAAATGCGTGTTTATCGTTGCATTCACCTAATCTTGTTGAAGCCCAGCCCGGCCCATTGACAAGACCCATTAGTAGAGCAGGAGAACGAGGGATAGAATTTGCCAATGCGTGTAAATTCCAGTCATTTCAAATACCAAGAAGCTTATGTAGGATTTCAACTGCCATTTAGTTTTGAAAGTGGCGATGGGTTTGCAAATTCTCCAAGTGGCGCCACCGCCACCACTCACTTCCTCCTCCTCATCTTCTTGTCGAGTCCAGACCCTCCCACTCTGGCTCAACCAACGCAACTGCCACTGCCGCCACTCGCGGCCTCAGCTTGCTCTTCCCCCCCGCCACTCGTACAAAAGAACCGCACTCTCGCTCCTCGGTAGGAAAGATAGGAAATTGCAAGCTTCTTCATCATCTTCTTCAACTACCCAACAAGACCAGGATGACGAAGAAGAATATGAAGACGACGAAGGAGATGAAGAAGATGAATCGGACCCTGACCCGGAAGACCTCGAATACGTTGGCCAAATCAAAAGGGTATCTTGCTTTCTTCCATTCTTTGATAGGTTTCTTTTCATTTCAGTAATCCACTCAGTGTTATTGTTGGTTAGGTGTTGGAGCTTCTCCGGAAGAACAGAGACATGATTTTCAGTGAGGTGTGGTGTAATTCTTCCATTCTCCATTTGCTTTAAAGTTCAGAAGTTTGAGTCTTGATCGAGTTTGGGTTGGCGTGCAATGTGATAGGTTAAGCTCACTGTTATGATTGAGGACCTGCGAGAAGTTGAGCGCAGGAGACTCCTCGGAATCGAAGATCCTGATGCCCCTACTAGGGAGGAATTGGCTGATGTTCTTGAGGAAGTAAGCCCTTCATTTTAATTCCCTTGCTACATTATGCTACGTTAGGCGAATTTCGATGATGTGATTCGTGAAACAGTGGATTTAGCATGCATTTGCATTGTTTGGGTGGTATCATACCTTCACACAATGAATTTATGAATGCAAAGTAGCTAGCAAGATCAATTGAAGGATCTTCAATTGGTTTGACAAGCACAAACTGCAACCTTTCAGCTAGGAAGTTGGTCATTATAATAGAACAACCTCTAGTAGATGCATTTCTTCCATCACTGTTAGATGTCAGCCACGAAAATTTGCAGAAAACCGACTGATGGTGACCATTAACTAGATATGCATCTTTACTAACTCCAAAGCACGCATGTCGTAGGAGAAAATCTCTCCATCCTCACTGGTTTGCGCAAGTCATGAAATTTATAATCCTTGATCCTTAGATGCACCCTAGCTACAGAGTGTTGGAACTTCCGAGCTTGATCATTCACATAGATGGACCCTGATTTGATATGCTTCTTTACAGATGCTACTTTTGCTTCTCCATAGGTGATTCTCTCTTTATGCTAGACAAAATGATTTGCAGAGTAACCCTTCGGAATTTCCTATGATTATTTACATAGGTGATACTTTGGAAATTCCTTCTTCACTGGATATGCTTCTTTATGATTTGCAGAGTGTCCTGAATTTGATTAATTTGTACGTTATGTCATTACAACTCTTTGCTTCAATACTTATACCCTTCTCAAATCATGAGTGGAAAAAATTTCTTTAGCATCTGTAAATTGGTAATAATTGGAAAAAGTTACTCTATTTATTGTGAGTTTGTGACACTAATTTGTGATTCTGTCATTTAGGTGAATGAAGGAAAAATCCCAAAAAATCGACTCGCTCTTAAACTGCTGGCAGCGGAAATGAATCAATGGCCTAATCTAGAGGTATTAATGTAATTCAAGTATAAAATGATCGATTTTAGAGATGCTTATTTATGTGTAAACGGAAAAAGAACATGAAGCTCTACCAAAGGATGCTAGGATAAAGAGCCAAGTTCTGAATTACAATTAAATAGTTTGTAAATCCAGTTTTGGTGTCTCAAATTTTGGTGGTCAGAAATTTTGTTCTATTTCATCCTTTATTTTCCAGTTTTGAAAGCATATGTAACAAACAATACTGCAGATTTTTCACTTTTATCTATGTTTCTAACTAACACCGGATATCAATTTGCTAATCTGTTCCTATGTTTTGTTTATGGTACAGGTTCAGATTACACCAGCGAAGAAAAAGCCTGGTAAGTCCCTATATGCAAGAGTGACAGACACTGGTATTGATCTTCAAGAGGCTGCAAAGAGACTGAAGATTGATTGGGATACGGCTGCTGAGATTGATGATGGTGATCTTAAAGATGAAAACGAAGTGCCTTCGGTTTTGGTTTGTTTCCTTGGCTTTCTTGTGACAATATGATTTTATCATGTTCCTGCTGTCATATATGCACTGGTTTAGCTAATCCTCGGGTTCCTAATACGTGGTTTCTTATCTTGCAGGGCTATGGCGCACTGTACTTAGTCACGGCTTTCCCCGTCATTATTGGTGTATCAGTGGTATTAATTTTGTTTTACAATTCGCTCCAGTAGAAATCTTGTCTCGCTGTCATACTTCACTGTAAAGATATCTTATTCCTTGCAATATACCGAATATCGTTCTGATCTTCACATGAGTTTTGTTCATCTAAATGCTAGTTAGAAATATAAAATATCATGTATGAATCTTGCGTATGGTTTTATGCAAGCACATCAGATCTTATAGTTTAGTTTTATTTTATTCTAGTTAACCACTTAAACCGTTGCAAGTCAACTCTTCCATGAAGATTTACATTATTAAAAGCAAGTTATCATATGGATTAGCAGCTAAACCATTCTTAATACAATATTAAATTTTGCTGACCCTTGTTTATATGGAGCAATTAGAGAACATGGACATCACTACTTGGTTTGGATTAGTGGAGAATGTGCTGCTCACGTCTAGGTTCTCATAAGTCTGTTTTCCCTCCCCTTTAAGTAGTCCAAATCCCAGACTTGATCCTCAGGATTTCTGCTTTTCTCTACCATGGATTATCCGTTTTCGGGCGAAATGAGCGACTATTTTACTCTTGGAGACCTAGAAAAGCAGATTTCTGTAGATCCAATATCACTGAAAGAATCTTATAGAGAGGTGAGTGCTGCCCCAGTAGCGGTGGTGCCTGATGTTGCTGCTCCAAAGCTGAATGCACTTGCCCAACTACCGCCTCTGTTGCCGCCCTCAAAGCCCAAGTTCTTAAGCTTCAGCCTCCCAAACTCAGCAACCTCATCGCCGCGAGTGAAGAAGAAATGGAAAGAAGAAAGCCAAGCATCTCCCCGGCTGGAGAATATGAGCCACCTGCAGCAGGAAATTGAGTTCTGGCGGACCAAGTCATGTGGTCAACGAGCACTTGCCCCATCAGATGACTTTGATCTCTGGTTGTTCAAACCGAAGGCCGCTGATAAAGTCACCACGTATTACAGCAGCCTTTCCAGAGCTAGGTCCAACAGAGGTGCTGATAAAAATGGCAAGAACAGGGATCCACATGATGATGGATTCACGTGTGGGGCCCTGTGCTTGTTCATTCCTGGCTTTGGTGGCAAGGCAAAGCCAGTGAGAGCAAGAAAGGTAGGGCCTGATGAATTGGGAAATGTCATATCCAGGACAGTTTCCTTGGAAAAGTTTGAATGTGGCTCATGGGCTTCAGCTATGATAAATGAGCAGGAAGATGACACCACCGGTCACTACTTTGATCTGCCATTGGAGCTGATACGGAGTAGCGTCAACGAGGCAGATTCGCCAATTTCAACGTCTTTTGTGTTTGGCACGGATCGAAAGGGTGCCCTGAAGAACGGATCAACGAGAGCACAAGGCCGGAAATCGCACGGCTCCTCACGCCACGTTCGGTTTTCTACATCATCAGATGCTACATCACCAACTGCTTGCGTTACGCCTCGCTTGCGCAAAGCAAGGGATGATTTCAAAGCTTTCTTGGAAGCACAGAGTACATAACTTACTCTGCTTTTTGGTGTATTGAGTGTATTTGCTATGTTTCAAAATAATGCAAGTAGATTGTAGCTATAGTCCTTCAACTATTACCCTGATTATCACTTTTGTCTCTGAATCAAGCAATTCATATAGTCCGTTTGTTTTTCTATCTAAATTTAGGGGTCTTGTGCTTGTTCCTATCGTCAAAACTTGGAGCTGTTGTTCTTGAACTATATGGTGTGAGTAGGCCTTTTTGCACTTAAAAATGGTAGAAAAATTACAGGTTTTGATGGTATGACAAAAAAATTGGGTAATAGTTCGAGGACTACAGCTACAATTTGCTCGGAAAAAATGCAGACATGGAAGCCGGCTATGTTGTTATGCCGATGGCCGTTCTCTAGTCTACTAAACCCAAAAGACAATTTCCAATTTCCCAAGGGAATGGCCCCAACAGACAAAGATTGTGTCCCTCTTGCTACTCAAGACCTTTGCTTGAGCCCTTGGCAACTGGACTCGACAAGGTTTTCCCCGACCCGTTGGCAATTTTTTTTCATCGTGTCGTATTCAGGTTAATTCAGTTTGAGTTCATATCAAGTATACAAATCAAGTCTAACTCGAACTATTTAGTAAGAGGATGGTACTCTATAACCCTACATATTTGCCATTTTTCTTTGTGGTGTGAGCCTTTCGAAAAAGTGAATTATCATGATAAAATCATCGACTGATCCTATTTTTAAGGGAAAAAAAAAAAGAAGAAGAGGATGACTCTACAACCCTACATATTTGCCAATTTTCTTTGTGGTGTGGGTGGTTTTTGGATGATTGTTACGGTTATAATGTGTCACGTAAGTTGGGAAAAAAAGTTGGGACAAACAACATTTTGTTAATTGTACGTAGATTTTGTTGAGTGACATGATTCTAACCTACTCTGCTTGTTAATTGTACGTAATCCATCCCTCTACTCTTATGTGCATCATATGGGCGACTGTCTCAAGCACTTTTCTTACCCATAAAAAAACCTTGGGCCTAACTACAAATAATTTCAAAAAGCCTTCCACATTCTTGCTCAAGAGTGAAAGTAAAATTTATTTATGTGGTTCACAAAAGTTTCAACCGAGAGATTCAACAAAAAATTTAAAAATTCAAAAAGGCTTCCACACTCTTGCTCAAGAGTGTGGAAGCAAAATCTATTTATGTGATTAAAAAAAGCTTCAACCAAAAACTTCAACAAAAAATTCAAAAAGGCTTCCACACTCTTGCTCAAGAGTGTGGAAGCAAAATATATTTATGTGGTTCAAAAAAGCTTTACCTACAAAGCTTTAACCAAAAAGACTTCGCCTATAATGTTTCAACCAAAAAGCTTTACCTACAAAGCTTCAATAAAAAAACTTCACCTACAAAGTTTCAACAAAAAAACTTCACCTACAAAGTTTCAACAAAAAAACTTCACCTACAAAACTTCAACCAAAAAGGCTTCGTCTATAAAGCTTTAACCAAAAAGCTTCACCTACAACCTTCACAAATAAAGCTTCAACCAAAAAGGTTTCACCCATAAAGTTTCAACCAAAAAGTTTCACCTACAAATCTTCAACAAAAAAGTTTCACCTACAAAGTTTCAACAAAAAAACTTCACCTACAAAATTTCAACAAAAAAACTTCACCTACAAAATTTCAACAAAAAAACTTCACTTACAAAACTTCAACCAAAAAGCCTCACCTACAAAGCTTCACCTACAAATTTCAACCAAAAAACTTCACCTACAAAGCTTCAACCACTCAAACTATGTGTCCAAAGGAAAAAGCTTCACTTACAAAGTTTCAAACAAAAAGCTTCATTTACAAAGCTTCAACCACTTAAGCTATGTGTCCAAAAAAAAAAAACTTCAACCATTCAAGAATATCAAGCCTCCTCTTTCGGCTATCCTTTTCCCTTGGAAACTTGGGGGACTCCCATTATATGCTACTACATTTCGGTACTCAGAAGTTTCGTGATTACTCAGTGACTTGGATTTTTCAAGTCCCTAACCGAGAAGCTTTCCTCACTCGGGAACTTCGGGGAGCACTGTTTGTACCATACTTGACCAATCTCGAAACTACCAAGCACCGATCAACTTCATACATTCAAGGATCCACTGAGGGGTTTATGTTGAGGCACCCCTGCCGAAGCACAAGAGTTTCCCTCCAACTAGGAGGCCAATCACCACACATCATATGTCAACTTTAAAATAAAGTTCATAGAGTCCCACATCGACCATGGATAAAAGCTGGAGACTCACCTCAACTATAAAAGAAGATTATTCTCCTACAATGAATCCCTAATGTCACTATTGTACTTAAACTAGTCATTAGTACCCACTAATGATGATTATGCTTGAACCGATGTATTTGTGTAAACCCTTCACTATTAATGAGAACTCCTCTACTCCGTGGACGTAACCAAACTTAGGGTGAACCACATACATCTTGTGTTTGCTTCCTTATCTCTATCTCTTTACATATTATCCTTATTTGTGACCGGAGCAACCAAGCAAAGGTGACAAACTTGACACTTTACGTTGTTCCAAAGTCTTCACTGATTTTGTGCATCAACACACATATTGTTAACTCTAAAAATTACAAAAGTCTACGTGGCGCACATGCCAAGTAATTATGAGTTAACTACGTCCTTCTTGTGAAGTGGGCGTGCTAAATAGTAGCTGAGCTCGATTGGGCAAGTAGAATTGACGTGGTGGTGGTGTCGAATGCGCTTGTTGACTTCTGCACTTGAGCAAAAGAACACCTTTCGACCTAGGGTTCTAAAACTTGAAAACAAGGTTGTGTAGTTCACTGCAAAGTTCTAGATCTCATGCACCAGGTTTAGCTGCCTCAACTATATTTGTGAGAATATAAGTGCGTCCTGAAAGTAATCATTCATAAAACACTTCACTTCGATGGGAAGATAATGAAGTGACCTCTTTCGGCAAAGGAATTGAACATTCTCCACCAGCTGAGACTTTGATAGATAATCAACTGAACTAGAAGTAGTGTTGTTCCACCGAATTGAAGGTACTTCCTAGAGCGATTAGTTCTACGAGACTAGTGATGGTCCAATGAACTGAATATGTTGCCGATTGCCAACCCAGTGATGTTCCAACGAACTGAATAGTGTTGATGGAAGAGTTATGATAATTAGTTTTTCTCAAGGTTGAGGGATGGTTTCACGTAAATTAAGTGAGGATTTTCGCATAAACCGTTTGAGTTGTTTGTTGTTTAGAGCTTTGCATTTACAGGACTAAATCCCTGATGTCTTCTGTATGTATGAACTAACGCACATTCGTGTCCATCACCTTGACATACCATGCCTATTTCAAATACCATTTTGCTTTTTAAATATGAGAGAGGATCCTTGCTGGATCTTCTTTGTGAGGATCCCGGGGATACTCCAATCACACCCTTTCATCGTACATCGTGCACCCAGTTTTCGTCAAGTACTGTTTCTATTTAATTTTAAATAAGAAAAATTACAATGATTTCTGACCGTACAATATACTATAAACAGATATGATTTGAGAATATCTAGAATTCTCACAAAAAGAATCCGACAAGGATCCTCACTATTTAAATACCACCTGTGAGACTTACTTTTCCTCACATAAAAGTCCATAGGCTAAGGCCTACCTTCAGATTCTTCACCACCATCCTTACCAGACCACGTGCTAAGACTCCCAATCCAACCGTATCATAATCTCATGTTGCTCCAATCCACACGTCCACATGGTAACAATCTCGAGTAACTTTGGACTGTATTGTTTGCTCCCATATTGAAGATATACCTTGCATCCCATTTATATTGTTGAAAATGTCAAGTAATTCCGATACTCTTAATAGATAATTATTATGATTAAAAATTCACAATATTATCTACTAACAATAACCGAACATTAACTTGAACATGTTTTTCTATCAATCGGCATAGAACTCTACTCATTCAACAACATCGATTGCATAGGGCCGAGGGTGCAATATTAGGCTCCACATACCTACAAATCCTAGACCCTAGTAAATTTCATGGTCACATGCTTCTGAATAAACATTGGCTTGGTAAAGTAATAGTCCGTGTTCAATTCGTGCTATGTAATTTTTTTTCTCAGTTAGCGTGGCTGCATTGGTTTAATTACAGTTGAAGCCTAACAGGCCAACAGAAATGGAAAACTAGACATGGGTTTGGTACGCACACCATTTCAATTCCACCATTTGTTCATCTGATGTGTGACCCCCCGCCCTTTTGACCATTTCTAATATATAAGGTACGTATAGTCTTAAGCTGGACCAGGAATTCGTTATATCTTCCCATATACAGAAAACGTATTTGAAATTCATGATATTTCTCAGAAGATTTTCACTACAAAAATAATGGGTATTAGGGATAGCGGTTTTTCAGGCTCTCTCTCGAGAAGCGAACCCTAATCATCTGTCACTTGTCACTATCAAGGTAGGGAACTATCTTATCATCAAAAGTTGATAGGAAAGATATTTGAATGATACATCACCAGCACGAAGGCTATGAGATCCGTCGTGAATCAAGCAATGGGCAGAGCCTACACCTTCAATCTAATAAATGCATCTCTTCCAAAAGTTGGGGTTTGTTACACGTATTAACTCTAGAATTACTACGGTTATCCGAGTAGCAAATACCATCAAACAAACTATAACTGATTTAATGAGTCATTTGCAATTTCACAGTTTGAATAGGTTAGGGATGAAATATAGATTCAAGAACGTGTAGTGGCATCATTTGGTCAACAAAAAAACCTTGGTGATTATTTTTGGTATTAATTGACGTTACAAGATATTATGATTACGTAACTCACAAGTCACAACATCTAATTGTTGTTGTTGTTTCTTGTTTAAGAATCCGTGATTAATAAATATAATAACGGTGGTTAATACATCACGAAAGTTGAAAGCGAACCCGGCAGAGCCAGCTGCTCTGTAACACAGAAACATCCACCGTTGGTTCCTCATGGGCCTCATATTTGCAAATTGCACGGGGAGACCGACAACACTATACACAGCAAAAATTGTCAATAAAATACTAATATGTTCTTATATACAACAACACAATTACCAGGAATGATCAGTTTTTCACATTGGTTACAGAAATGATCAGTTTTTCACATTGGTTACAGAATTGAT